TATATATATATAAATATATACACATATTTATTTAGATGTTTACATTTGTACATAAAAATATACATACTTATTTATATATGTACAGAGACTTATTCATATAATCACTTCTTTTTCTTTTTGCTTGTCGTTTCTTCTGAGCTGCAGATAAGAAGGAAGGAAGTAAGGAAATAAATATTATTAAATTATAACAATTGTTAATAAACGTGTTCATACTTATTAAAATATTTAATATAACATATACCACATAATTTTACCTGATTTGTTTTCTTTTTTTTTGATGAACTTGCGAAAGAAGTAGATTCGTGAGGGACTGAAACAGACTGAATTGGCTTTGAAACTGATGATGTTTCTTTTGAAGACGCAGTTGTTATAGGTGATAAATACAACTGAGGTTGCTCGTCGTTGAAAGTCTTCAAAATAACTTTATCAATAAAAGCTCCCCGAGTCTGAAACTGTATGACAAATATTTTTGATATTCCTCTTATTTCTTCTAAAATAGGAGGAATCATGTAGCGATCAGTGTATCCCTCATCATAAGTAAGTGTAGAGCAAACTTTGTTAATAAGTGACTGCACTGTTTTACCGAACATTACAGCGTCTGTTTTTCCGGTGTTATCTTCAATTTGTATATTTATTTTGTACCTGTATAAGAAAAATAAATTATATTTATTGTATTTGTTAATAGAAAATTAAAGTGCTTATTTTTTATAATAGAATCTATTACCAAGTAAGTGGCATTGTAGATAGATATCCATCGGTGTCACACCACCATGATGTTCTAGATTCTTATACTTGTCTATAACACTTTGTGCAAGCATAGTAAAACCATCCTTGATGTGTATATAAGTCAGTTATAGTTGCTCTAACTGTATATTTTGTTTCCTTTTATGTAGAAAAGGAAACAGTTTAATTCAATATATATACATATTATATTTAATGGACTATATTTATAAACTTTGTACCCGATTTTGGAATGCATCTAATGCTCGTAATTCTGCGATGGTAATGCGATTTGTGTTTTTTTTGTCTTCTAATGATATTGCTGGCCTCGTTGATGTAGCAACATAATCCAAACTCTGAATAGAATGACGAAATCTATAT